CGCACGGCTCGCACCGCTGTCCCTTATTTGGATCTGCGGGAATGTGGGCTGGAGCGGTCCAGCCGCGGTACCAGCCTCCTGCGTGCTGCCGGGACTGCCCCTGACCCAGGCGCGCCCGCTGCTCGTGGCGGGAGGGCCGGCGGAGCGCCATGGCCTGCAGCCTGAAGGTAACAACCGGGATCTGTGGCTCGGACGCGTGGTTGGAGAGCCCCTGGCTCCTGAGAGGCACGGAGTCAGGCGCGGTCCACCGCATCCTCATCTCAGTTGTCTTTTGCTGGCAGTGATTTTCTTTTTGTTCCTTTGGCAAATGCATATGGAGGGAGATTCTGAAACATGCAGCTGGCACGGCTCCTCTTCTCACCATTCCTGCCTGCTCGCGCCTGCATTGAAGGAGCTGCACACTGTTGGCTCCTGAAGCGAGCAGGGCTGCGAGCCGAATAATGGGGATGGCGGGGAGGGAGGGGTGCTCCGGCGGGTCGCGCAGGTCCTGCGTCTCCTGGGAGCCAGGATCCTTTCTGGGGGCCACAGGGAGAGGAGAAGCTGAGCATGGGGTGTTGGTGGTGAAGGTACAGCGTTTGGAGTGGGGAGCGGGGGAGTGTAGGGGAATGCACTGAGTGTTTGATGTGTGAAGCCAGAAACTTCTGAGTTTACAGGTAGTCTCTTATGAACGAGACTGCAGAGATCTACTCGCTTTGTGTGCCTTTAGCTGCGCTCTGGAAAAGTTCACAAGAGAATGGATGCATTTATTAATAGAGAATTTTGGACCTCGTGTGCTAACAAATTTGAAGAATACACACAGTGACTTTGCTCCCTCTTACAGACTACTTTACCAACTGTTTTTCTAAGTTTTCTTTCTGTTCTTAGCCTTGACTGAGCATCTTTTTGACCTGTCTTTGTGGCCTCAGGTGGGAGGGCTTGATGTGATGACCTCCCTTGAGAGAAGAACTTTCAGCCCCAAAGGGAGACTGTTTGTTTGTTTTGTTTTACACTGTTGTTTCTACACGTGTCTAACCTGATTGCATGGTCCAAAACCATGTACAGCATGTAGATTTCCTGGGCCTACAATGGTAATGGGGGTAGATGTGTGGGAATCAGTGAGACTGGCTCAGGACAGGGCAGGCTTCAAAGCTGCTGTACATAGGGTCTCAGGCGACTGGACGGCACATGACGACGACAACAACAACAACAACAACACTGGAGATTGCAAAGGTTTGTTTCAAATCTGGGAGGTAGGATGGGGGTTGTATATTTCAAGAGGAAAACATCAGATTTTTTTTTTTTGTCTTCTTATGAAATGGCACTTGTTCCTCTTTAGGAGCACCCGTTGTGAGGGTGACAAACTTGTTTCATTCACGGTTGTATATAAGGTGCCCATGAGTTTGATCTGACTCAGGACCCCTAGCAAGTACAATAACACCACCACAACAGAATGTTCTGAAGCCACCTAGTGTGTGCCTATAAGAGTCAGAATCGACTGAATGGCATTGAGATTTTTGTTGTTGTTGTTTTGTTTGTCTATTTGTTTGTTAGTCCTGTACTAGTGATGCGAATCATCTTCCGACATGACTTAATATTAAATGGTCCAAACAAGAGGCTAATCTAATTTGGTTGTTTCCTTTTCACTGAATATAGATATTTCCTGGGACTTTCCTGAACTTCCTCTGTTTGGTTCCAGAACATTTTCTGGGATATAAATGGTCGCAGAATCAAGAAGAAATAATACACTGATATTGTAATATCTGGTTTTTACTGGGAGATTTTCAACATAGAGGCCGACTTACATGAAGCAACTTTATTGCTGTGTTATGAACTAGAAGGGAAGTTGTAGAATGTGACACTGAGTGTGTTGGGCTATTAACTGAAAGGTCAGAGGTTCAAGTCTCTCAGCTGTTTCATGGAAATGAGATGGACAGTTTCTTCTTGTAAAGACATACAGCCTTACAAACCTCATGGGAGATCACTGGGAAGGTGAAGAGTCTCCATGGCAATGGGCTTGCTTTGATTTTATCTTCTTTTTAGGCTCTGTTGGCCTAACCCTTAGGAAGTTGTGTTGCCACCCAAAGATCATGATCTTTTCTAGGTTTGAATCCACTAGCAGACTCTGAGGGAGAAAAATGGGCAGTCTCTTCTAGTGTGATTTATAGTCTCAGAAATTAGATGATCAGCTATGAGATTCTGAGAGTTTGGTTTCTTCCCTGCCTCATCACACATGTGTTCCAGATGTCTTTAATGTAAATCCCAAGTTACACGTGAACGTGCTCCAACCGTTTTCTCCCAATACCTCACATAGCTACCCTTAGCCATTGGCATATATCTGAATCACCCTTTTCTTTTCTCCACTACCTGATCTGGGATGTGGACAGGTAGCCTGAGAAGAGCAGCACACCTGTGCACTCAGTGACCTCCTTTACCTGAATGCCGTCTGCCAGTTACTAGCTATGTAATTGGACAAGTTACTTAAGTTTCTTTTGTTGCTGTTTGTTGTTATGTGCTATTGAGTCGCTTGTGACTCATAGTGACCCTATGTACAAGAGCCCTAAATGCCGTTCTATCCTGTGCCAACCTCGCCATCTCAGACACACTCATTCCCACCACTCCACTCACAGAATTGATCCATCTCATAGAGGTTCTTCCTCTCCTGCGCCGTCTCTCCACTCTCCCAAACATGATGTCCCCCTCCAAGGACCAGACTCTCCTTGCAGCATGCCCAAAGTATGTCAGACGAAGCTTCAGAATCCTTGACTCCAGGGAACATTCCGGCTTTACCCTCTCCAGGACAAACCTGTTTGTTCTCCTAGCAGCCATGGTAACACTCTTCTCCAACACCATAGCTCAAAGGCATCAATTCTCTTTCTATCATCCCTATTCACTGTCCAACTCTCTGATGCATAGCACATAATTGCAAAGACTATAGCCTGGATCAGGGGCACCTTATTCTCCAACCTGATGTCATTGCTCTTCAGTACTCTTGAGAGGTCTCTCACAGCTGACTTTCCCAATGCCATTCTTCTCCTGATTTCCTGGCTGCTGTTACCAAGAGTGTTGACTGTGGAACCAAGTGAACTATAGCTGTTAACTATCTCAATCTCTTCACCATCCATACTGATGCTGCCAATTGGCCCAGTGGTGAGAATCTTCGTTTTCTTGATGTTGAGCTTCAATCCATATTGAAGACTGTAGTCCTTGACCTTCTGCAGCAAGTGCTTCAAGTCCTCCTCAGTTTCAGCAAGCAGGGTTGTGTCATCTGCATAACACAGGTTCTTTATGATTCTTCCACCAATCCTGATGCCACATTCCTCCTCGTACAGCCCAGCGTCTCGGATGATCTGTTCTGCATACAGATTGAAAAGGTATGGAGACAGAATACATCCCTGATGGACCCCTTTCTTGATTTTGAACCATCCAGTGTCTCCCTGTTTTGTTCTGATGACTGCCTCTTGGTCCAAGTATAGGTTTTGCATTAGCACAATCAAATGTTCTGGGATTCCCATTCCTCTCAGAGTCAGCCATAGCTTCTTGTGATCCACACAATCAAAAGCATTTGCATAGTCGATGAAGCACAGATAAACATTCTTCTGGTATTCTCTGCTTTCTGCCAAGATCCATCTAACATTAGCTATAATATCCCTAGTACCACGACCTCTTCCAAATCCAGCCCAAAGTAATAACATCTACTCCACAGGGTTGTTGACGGAATTATGTAAGATTGTTGTTGTCATTGTGTGCCATCGAGTTGGAACCAACGCATAGCTGACCTTCCGGTGGGTTTTCAGAGGCAGTAAATCCTCTGGGAGGGGATTGCCCATTCTGAGGAATGGCTGGTGGATTCAAATCTCACACCTTTGGGATAGTAACACAGTTTCTTTCCAAGATAGGTTTGTAAAAGTCTAACACTAGTTGGGTTTAATTTCCTTGTGTGATCTATAACGATAACAGTAAAAACTTCCATTTGATGATTCCTTACTAATTTCTCAGTTTTTCCTCTATTCCTTATAATTATTCTGAACTAAAACTCGAAGTTGTCATTGTTTCAGACTCCCTAAGACCAGCTAAGAGTCCTAGCCTGCTCAAATTGAGAGATTTGCTCAAGGTCACAGAGTTAAGGAGGGATTCAGAACTAAGTCTCTCAAACTTTCTTATACTTTAAAGCTGCTCCCTGCACTTTCTCAAGTGATTACTTCCTAAGATAGCTTACTATCACTCAGAGTCCTTACCACCTTGGAGAACTAGGATGCCTTTTCACAGAGATGCTTTGAATCCTCGTAGACCCTTTCCTCCGTGGTCTGTGAGAAGCCAGCTGTGGTGAAGTGTAGCATGGAGAGCACAGGATTCTGAGTTCAGCTGGCCTCTTGTATGTGATCTTGGACAGTCAATGAAGGTTAGAACCTCAGATTTTTAGAATATGGATAACTATAATAATTCATTCCTAGAGGTGTTGTTCTTATGTGTGGCTGAGTGGACTACCAGTGGGGGTGAAACTATGGGCTCCCCCCCAATAATTTGTACACTCTTGACTTGTTGACTTTAGCAGGATACCTTTAACTCCAGTCTCAAGTGGCTTACAGAATGATTATGGAGAAAAGTAAGTGAAGGTTGTGTGAAGAATGAAATGATTCAAGTCTATAGAATTTATCGTTTTAGTTTGTTTTTTGGTAGAAAGAATTTTTGAGGCAGAGTCAGCTTTATTCTGTAGGTGAGTGCTTTCTCTTTACACAACTTATTTTTGGTTCTTCTTATGTTGTATTTATTTATTTTTAAAAATTTTTCTACTAGTTTATTTACGCAGTTAGCTACATAGTTTTCAAGAACAAATTCTTTCAATTTGCCTCACACCCCACCCATCAAATTGTACAACTCCATGATTAATATCCCCCAACAGACTTTTGAGGTACACTTTATTCTATTTTGTGTGTGCGTGTGTGTGTGTGTGTGAGAACTAAGGTTAAGAAGTGCTGGGTAAAATGCTGAGAATACTATTGCCTGGATGTTGTTACTTGCCTTTGAGTTGACTACAAATGCATTGCAGTTCTATCTAACTGATCTGAACACCGCCCTATCCTTTGGCATCTTCGTTATTTCTGACCCACTTATCCACTGTTAGTCATTGTGTCAGTGTACATCCCTGAAGGTCTTGTTCTCTTTTGCTGGCTCTCCACCTTTCCAAGCA